TTTTCAACTGTTAATTTTAACTGTTAATGTGAGATCATAAAAAAGTGGGTGATTTGAGCAAATCGAATTTCCTATTGTTCGCTTTGAGCAATATTCTTATGAAAATTGGATTCGGTGATGAGTTTTAAAGAGAATTTCTGAGGCGGATATTGAGGCAGATATTACTAACTTTCCAGTATATCAAAATTTTAATGCTAGTAAATTATTTTTCAAATCGCAATCGCACTGAACTGTTGTTGGAATGAAAGAAAAAAGATTAAAGATTTTAGGAATTTTATTAAATTGCTTTAATAATGGATTTAATTGAATTGCGTCGAAAAAATTTTTAATTTTAAATTTTGCTTTAAGTATTTTTAAATATTTCATTTTAAAATTAAACACTTTACCATTTTCACAGTTATATTCCTTAGTCAAGCAGCACGTCGCACACATCCATGGACACATTTGTCGAGCTAATATTTTATATGGCTCCTGCTGACATTTGTCTAGGACTTTGTAATCCATGTTACTGCAACAAAACAAGGATGTTATCAACTCTTTCCATTTTCTTTTGGTTATCAGCTATCTTTTATGCAATTGTTTATAGCAGTTAATCTGCTGGAACTTAGCAATAAGCCAATAAATTTATTTTTAATAAAATTTTTATGACCAGAACGACTCACGGCATACGATTATTCGCGAGTACATCGTTTCCCATCGGCTTGAATATTTCGAAGCAAGCTGCCGCATCACGATCTTGGCAGTACTCGACAGGCACTGAAGGCCTCACTACAGCATTATTTTGTCTAGGTACAGGTACAGTTACAGAGATAAAACAGACTTTTATATTCTCATCGGCTCCATTAGCAACCTCACATAAGGACAAAAGAAAAATCAGGGAAAGGAGCATACCCATCAATCAAAAAATTTCCAATCTAAAAATTAGGCTTTTTATAGTTACGAAATGAATCGTTATTTATTTTCCGTATTCGAACTGATCAAAAAAATGATAAACATTATCACACCTCCATTTGAAACTGCCAGGTACCCAAATATGGTAGTTGAAAATTTTTTGACGCAAATTCAATTAAGATCGATTGTTACGCAATTAAAAACGATATTATTTATCCATTATTCAAATTTTTCTTAATTATCAAAGAATTTAATTTTTAGTTTTCGCCAAAGCATTTTTGATGGAAACAATTCGGAAAGTTATTCTATTCTTAGCGATGGTTTAAAACATTTCATATTAATCCATCCTAATTGTCTCAAAATAAAGAAAGAAATAAAATTTAATTGCCCAAAAACTCACGGCATAAGATTTTGCACGAATATATTATCACTCGGATAAAACAGTGCAAAATATGCTGCCGCACCATGATCTTGGCAGTATTTGTGAAAGAATGATAAAAATGAACGGTTAAAATGATAAAAATAACTTCAACTCCTGTGGTGGACAACGGACAATGTGCCCTAATCAGCGAACGCTCTGTGATAACATTATTATTATAGGTGATATTTGAGCGAAGATAGATATAGTCATGTGCGATTTTATCCGCTCGATTGATCCGTAAAATGTATTTTAGATTCGTTAATTACTAAAACTATGGATAATGCTTCGCAAAAATCATCGAAAATATGATTAAAAAAGTGCCAATGAAATGATACCAAAGTATAGCAACGACATATTGTTCTCACTTCTTCAATTCGAAATGATTGTGTGGATTATAAATGCATTTGTTAAAATTTTATGTGCTGAGGTCAAAGCATCGATTCTTTTCTTTTTTGCTTGCTTGAGGAGTCGTTAAAGAAGAAATTAAATATTATTCGAAACTATTTGCTTTTCGATCCTTCGGTGATTCTGTTGGCTGAAGGATGCTAAAATGAGAACTATTTAATTATATAGCATTATTTATGTTGTCGAAATCTATTTCATATCATTTATCACATTTTCTATTTTTTTATCCGGAAGGCTTGATGAAGAATTGTGAAAGTCTTATCACAAGTCTTATAACTAAATTTACGTCATGAAATTTTCAAAAACCATGTTTGAACAGCTGAAGATTTTGGTTAGAGGAGTGATCATTTTTTGTTTGGTTGTATTCATGAAAAATAAGTGAAAATAGGCGATATAAAGCCGATTTTATAGATCGGAAAGCAAAGCATTTGACCGATTAGCATGTTCTTTTATGTTCTCTTTTTTTGCGTGTCCTCGCACTGTGCAATCTTCTTAATGAAGGTGTTGGGAATATAGATTTTTGCTCGGTGTCTGTTCTTGTACCGATAGCAGGTGGACAGCAAATTTTATAAAGACTTTCAGTGCCTGTTGAGGACTGCTAAGATCATAATGCGCAAGCTTGTTTCCGAAATATTCAAGTGTGCAATAATGAGATGCAGGTAATCACGAATAATCGTACGCCATAAGTTTCTAAGCCTTTGAATTTCAATTTCATCTCGATATAAACATACCACTATAACCATGAATCTATATCTGATCTATATCAGTACTATCAATAAGAATATTTATATTTCTAACGACAATAAACAATCTGCAATTATTGTGCCTAATTAGTGTGATTATGTATAATTTATATTGTATTGTATTATTATATTGTAACATTATTAATTAAAATTTTCTCAAATTCTTCTTACAGTGAAATAGTTTCAGAGAAAGTAAATTTCATGGATTTTCTACGTAAGCACTTATACGAATAATTATACCTTTCTACTTAATTATTATATATCTAAAATAAATTAAACTTTTAAAAATAAAATTAAACCTACTTAAATATTAAACATTAAAGTAAAGTAAACAACAAATATTAAATATTAAAGTATTGAAACAAAATAAAAAGAATCTCTTAAAATAAATAAAATAAATAAACTAATAAAAATCGAAAAACCAAGCGATAATTTATAAATTAATTCAGAAGCGAATTTGCTATTTTAATTTAATTAGATTAATTTTTAATGTCTCTATGGAACTATAAAGTTCATCTGGGAAACCCCTCTTGACTGCAAAGAATGCACCGAATTTAGGTACCACAGTAAAAATATTGATTCATAAATGGATCGTTCTACCTTCGAGGCATGAATTTCTGTCAATTTTTGCAAATTTAATTGCTAATCGGACTCATTAAAACACTTAATAGAATGGGAGAATTGATAACCGTTTAGCAGCACGATAAACTTACTTTAAGGCAAATTCATTGCTGATTTATAAAATATTTCGGGTAGCTGTGCGGCATTGTAGGATAATTTGGTGGCTCGTTCTAGCAGCTTTCATGGCATTGACGAAAAACTATGCTATGACATTTCCTTTTTCATTGAGCAATGGTAATTCTTGATTGATGGCAAATGGTCAATAGGTGCGAATGGTCACGAATATAATACTTTCTACGCATTTATGCAATTTATGTGCATAAAAATTGATTGAAAAATTGAAAAAAATTTATATGAATCTTGGTGACTTGAGCATTACTTGAACATTAATCAGTATTGTATCTTTATAATGATAAGTAAGAGATGAATAGCAATAAAGGATTACATTAGGACTGCATTTTACATTTTATCGTTTTTGGATAAAACAATCGAGAAAGCGGAAAATTTTAAGAATAAGTGGCAACTCATTAGCATTATAAAACACAGGAAAAAGTTATTTAAAGCCAATTAGTCTTCAGTTTTATTTGCTCTTAAATTAATAATTAAAATCTATTCATAAATTAAATAATTAAATAATTTAAATAATTTAAATTACTTGTCTGAGACTGATAAAGTACGGAATAAAATTTAGATGGTATTTCTAATAAGAAACTGCAATATTAACGCCAATGAGTATTATTATAAAAGACAGAAAATTTATACTTTTTCAGCTAATTTTACATATTCTTGGAATAAAATGGTTCAGTGGGTTGTTGCAATTAGGAGCTCTGATGAGGTTCAATTCTCCGCAGGAGTAAACCTGTGCAAAAATCAGGGTGATACTGGCGACTCGCCTATTTATCTGCCGCCAAGGGACTCCTTGGCATATTGTCCAATGCCAGTAGTGCAAGTTTGACCAGTAATGGTGAGGACTCTTAAAAAAGAAACTTGTATATTCTACTGTATAGAAACGCGATGAAAACAAATAAATTTTGTTTATAATTTGTAAATCTATTGGAATTTTCGAATTTTAATGCAAGAAAATCCAGGTGAAATAGTTCTTAATGAATTTGCCCTCCAAACCACTAAGGAAAATTTAATGAATAAACGATCGGAAACGAATCTATAAGTTTCAAAGTAATTTCAAAACTTTCTTTAAAATTTTATGGAATTTGTTAAAAAAGTAGAATAATACGTTCTTATTCATTTTCAAGCGCTTTAATCAAAAAATCTAAAACTTCAATTTTTTGCTTTTCTTTATTTTCAGTTGCGATAAAGAAAAGAATACAAAAATAAATTTACTTATCGAAAACGGCCGATTTTGGTAGATTTTAAAGAAAGGAAAGAGAGTTTAAAGAAAGATTCGAATAAACTGTTATTTTTGCTAATATAAATAATACCAATATTTGCCCAAAACTGTTTCAATAAATTTTTTCATGAACGAGAATTTGAGGGAGGTTTAATTCATTGTTATAATATAAATATAATTGCACAGATTACGTGCAATAACCGCACGTTCTTGCACACTGTTGCATCATTGTTGTTCGAAACACACCACCACAGCTATGTGCAGCTTTAATTGCTGCACAGTTTAATCTTTCGTCTCGACAAGTTGCTGCTGGAGGAGACAAAGTTGTTGCTGAAATACACAAAAAATGTTTTCCACAAGCAAAGGAATTTCTATTTTTGCATTTGAATCTTGTAGAATATTTTAAAAAATTATCTGAAACTACTTGTTAGACAATCGCGCGACCCGCAACTTCTCTGACACATATTTTTCAATTTGTTGTCAGTACAAATGCCCAATCGCACCAAAATATCACAACCGTCGATAGTATCGGGACACATATTTGCAGCACCAGGTAAATGACAAAGTCCACAAGTCTGTGGACAAAGTCGTAATGCAAGGCTTGGGAATTGACTGCACATTGCCCTTGAAAAATTTTTGCATGCACCATCTCGGCCTCCAACTAAAATAGAATTTCAGTTTTAACAGCTTTCAAAAATTAACTAATTTTCGAAATGCGAGAAAGTGCAAAGGCAAACGTTGAAAACTCCTATTATGCTATTTATTATAAATTAGGTCAATAAAAATTTCTTCGTTCCTACCATTTTCGCAGTTATATTCTTTAGTCAAGCAACAGGTCGCACACGTTTGTGGGCACATTTGTCGAGCCAACATTTTATATGCATCCTGCTGACAAGTGTCACGAACTTTGTAGCCCATGTTTCTGCAACAGAACAGTAATTTAATATCCCTTTCCTTTTTTTTTAAAAGGATTGTGGCCTGTTTTTGTAAAAAATTGCTTGAGGAAGCGGTTCAATAATCAATAATTAACAATGAATTTCTTAAAAAATAAAACCAGCGATTTTTTTTTTTATAATCGTCGAATTTCCTCACAAGAAATGAATGATTTCAGATGATTTGGTGATATACATATATATCAAAATGCAAGTTTAATAGCTCAGAAACTTACGGCATACGATTATCAGCTAATACCTGCCCAAGAGCAGCATTATCGTCTGGCTTAAATATCTCGAAGCAAGCTGCAGGGTCACGATCTTGGCAATTTTCGACAGATACTGTAGGCCTTTTTACAGGATTTTGGGCCGTAGGAACAAGCATAAAGCAAACGTTTAAATCGACAGCAGCCCCATCAACGAGAATGTACAACGTTGCAAGGACAAGCAAGCGAAGCATTTTTCAGATGCCAGCCAAATGATTTGTTTCCGATATATTCGGCATTTAATAGTTAATTTGTATTTGTTTTTCATAATCCAATCAAAAAAAAGAGTGATAAAGTGATAAACATTATCACTCCTTCCGCCTTAAATTTCCAGGTGCTCAAATATGATTTTTGAAAAATTTTTGATATTTTCGTCATGTTAAATTCAATTGATACGCATATAATTATGATATCGATTATTCATTAAAAAGCTTTTCTATTTTTTAAAATAATATTTATCTCGATGATGGAAATTTTTCTCCAATTTTCAAAGAGAATTATTGTGTTTTATTTTAATTTTTTAAAATTTAATTTATTTCTGCTGGTCTTTAGGGAAACAATACGTTTGAATGCTTTGCTTAAAAAGCTAATGAAAACATTGAATGAATAAAATAAAAAACAAGTTAATAGTAAATAAAGAATTGAAAATTTTTATTAAAATCAATTTAAAAATCAATTTTGTACGAGTTTTTGGAAAATGTAACGTACAAAGCAAATTAGCCCTCCACATTATCCTTAATAATATACTCGAACTCTGAAACGATGGTCGAACGGCTCAGTGGTTGTTGCTAAATTTGGAGCGCCCATGGTGACATTCTATTACTCGTTGGTATAAACTTGTTGCAAAATTCGAGTGGCGCTGGCCACTCATAACTACTTCTATCGACTATCAATGGACTACTTGGAATATTCGTTCAACGTAGCGAAACGAACTTAGCTATTAATGGTGTAGACCTTTGAAAAAAGAAAGTATAATAGAGATATGGAAAAATTTTGGCTTCTTTCATTCTCGCTAGAATGTTATAATGTCCCGTGAAAACTGTTTGTCCTATATGTGAAACCATTGCTTTCGAATTTCTCGAACATTTCCTATAATCAATCATATTTTATTGATTTATTTTATCAATCACATCTATTTTATGAAAACCTTGCCTACTCACATTATCCCATTGTTTTCTATTCCGATGGTTCTGCACAAACCGTCCAAGCCCAAGAATATGCCTTGGTCTAAGCCTTGGCCTTGCCAAATCTTTGGCCAAGCCTTGAAATAAACGTTTGGCCCCGCCTATGCCTAGGCGATAAGGTTTGTAGGAAAAATGGCATTTATTATTCCTTTCTATATGAAAAAATTTTTAAACTTTACTAGTTTCTCTTCTCCCTTGCCATTGGTAAAACTTAAAACATTTGTTGTGGAATTTGATTTAGAAGAACTATTAATTTTTTTTATATAAAAGTTATATTAAATTTAAATCGTTTCTATTACCACCGTCGTTGTCCATTTTTATAAATGAAAATTTATAAAATACGGCGCGCTGATATATTTTTTGGAACTCTCTTCACGGTGAGCAATTTAAAATTAAAAATAAAGCAAAAAATTCAATTCCGATATTTCCGAAATTACACATTTAACATAAATTATATATTTTAGAACGATATCAGACACAAGAAATTTGGCATTTAGCGATGCATATGCTTATATGCTCTCGAAAAAATACTCATAAGGGACCACTCCATGTTTCATCAGTCATTCTTGGTCGCATCCAGTGTCCTTTCCCTTTATAAGACCACTTATCACAAAGCTTATCATGCAAGAAGATATATTTAATCGTTTTCTACTTGATAAGTTAAAGATTATATTTACTGTGTTCGTTGATTTGTTAATGAATTTTAAAGAAAATCTCAACACAATCTGCACTTTTATAGGTGCAAAGTATGTACATAAGTCAGACAAATATCAAATAAGTCCTAAGCTTAAGTAATTTTTTGTAACTCCAAAAAATATATCAGTGGTGTTTCGCATAATTTAGCTCATTTGAACAATGTCGATGGAACGTAATGATTATACTACTGCCTTAGGCAATGTTCAAATCCACTTTGCATTGAGTGCAAAATGATGATAATTCTTCTTAGTGATTATTAATAAATAATCAAATAATAAATTTATTCAGCAATTTTTTTTTAAATTTAAATTTTTTTATAACAAATTTTATTTATTTTATAAATTCTGAGATGAAAAGGAATATAAAGGAATATTCTTGTAATGTTTTGGAATATCCGATTTTTAACGCCTTATTTTCTTAACTTTTCTAATGTTCCCAATAGCTCAATTCTGCTATATTTTTCTTTTTCTAATCGTTTCAATGTTTCAATGTATAATATTTGAAGGGCAATAATGCTTGAAAATTTGAATTATATGTCTTTTATCAGCTACATATTATCAAATATAATAAATTGGCTTTTGGTTATAGCCTGTTATATTGCTGCTGAATGTTTTATTATGCAAAATATACAAAAAATCTTAAAATAAAATTTTTTTATAAAATGCAACCCACTAAACTGATAAAATCTTACACAAACTGATAAAATTAAACTGATAAAATTTTTCTCAATTTTTTATTTTTTTTCTTTTAAATTTGTATAAATACGATAAATTTGTATACGATTTTCACATTTGATCGAATAAGAAAAGTGAGATACAATTAAAAATAATGAGGCTATGAATCAATAAAAGAATATAAAGAATTGTTAATTTTACGGTTCTCAAAAAAATTTATTGAAAAAACGAATTCGTTTAGGTTATCGGCCTTGCATTTATAATGACAAATTGATCCCGCCAATTTACCCGAATCCCATTAACGCGTAACATTGCCTTGGAATAGAAAAAACATCGTTTTTTATTGATAAATGATTGATAAGAAAAAAATAAACTAAAATCGCTTTCATTTTCCTTTTTGGCCAAAAAATTCATAATTGTGATTGTAGGCTCAAGAAGAGGCTACCGAAATTAGCTTAAAGAGCACTTAGAGTGGAGATAATATTCTATCATTTAATTAATTTCTATTATCTGAGTACGAAATTTATGGCTAATAAACTGAGTAAATAAATCAGATCAGCTTGGCTCATTATTTAGACAAATTTTGCCAAGAAGAAGCCGTGATAGAAGTATTTGTAGATGCACCACTCGCTTTTCTGAAAGGAAGGCTTTTTCCAGCTTCGAGCAAAATCCCAGCATAGGCATTGCGAGACATAATAACAACCCACTGAACCAGTTTTGTTTTGTTTTAAAAATATAAGAAAATGGATATGAAAACGAAAAATAAAAAATGGGAGCGGTAAGAGACCGAAAGGTCGAAGGCGAGAATATTTCAATTAAAATATATGCGATTGTTCTTTTCGAATCATTGAAAAATGGCCGTTCTTGTTTAGCAATCCAGAATGAATATGAGGGAATTGGGCAATATAGATGGTAACACATTTTTATTCGAGAATTTTGCGATATTTTGGAATGGTTGTAGAATGGTTGTCGTTTTCAGCTTTGAGAACAGATTAGCGTACAATTGCGTGTAGGGATTAATTTATAAAAGTTCATTTAAATGCGATGCAAAGCTAAGTAAATTGTTTATGCGAATAGTTCTATTATCATGGCATTCTCAATGGTAAATTTATTGATAAATACGGTCTTAATGCATCCAATATTAAGTTCCCTGCCTACTTGTAAGAGACATGAAAATTTCAGAAATTACGAAAACAGTTCCACCAAAGTATCTAAGAATCACTGAAAACAGGAATAGGATCACTGAATATAAAAATATAAAAATTTGATTTGGTTGTAGCAATTTCTGGATTTATAGTTTCTCTGGATTTAAAATTCTAATGTATGAATAATACTATATGTTGGTTTTCTCTTTGGTCGATAATTTTATTTTCAAATTATGTTCACGAGTACATTTCAACATAAAAACCCTTGAGAACTGAAAGCAAAATCAGTGAAATGCACTTGTTTCAAATTTGATCAGAGTTGACAGATTCTTAAGAAAAGCAAATATAAGCAGTAATTTGGGAAAATGGAGAATTGTTTTGCATGAGTGGCATTTCCCTATACATTAAAAGAAACTTATTTTTTTCTAAACTAAAAACTAAAAAATTCTAAAAAAAAATTGAGAAAAATTTTTTTATTTTATTTTTGTTTTAAATTTTAAATTTAAATTTTAAAATTTTTTTGTTCTAAGGTTTATTATTAAAAAATGATATTTTGAAATGCAATAGAATCAGCAGAATTGTATAAAATGTAATAACTACAATGATAAATGTCAATTTATCATATTTGATTAATTGTAATTGATAAAAAGCGTACAATTCTCTTATTTGGAGCACAAATTTGATTAATTTAATTTTTTTTGATTTTTTAAAATATTATCATCTTTCAAATATTACAAAAATATCGCAAAACATTGCAAAAATATTCCTTTTCATCTCAAAATTTATGAAATATTTAATTATTTATTGAAAAAGAATGTAAAGAATGTAAATGTAAATGTAATCGTTATTTCCGATAAGCTTCTTTTTTAACTCTTTAAGAGTGTAAAGTGAATTTGAATACTTCCTCAGGCAGTAATATTTTTATTAATACGTTCATTTCTATTGCTCGTTATGCAAAACACCACGCACCGATATATTTTTTGGAGTTTTGGAGTTTTCTACTTAATAATTTATGATTTTTAGGCTTGGAACCTATCTGGTATTTGATCGACTCATACTGCACCTGTAAAAGTGCAGATTCTGTTCAGACTTCCTTTAAAACCCATTAACAAATGAAGGAAAAAATCCATTGAATGTACGATCAAAACATAAATTATTAAGTAGAAAATTATTAAATAGATCTCGCTGCATGATAAGTGGCTTTTGTGAGGAGTGGGTTTGTAAAGAGAGAGAATCTCGGATACCATCAAGAGTGGTCTGATAAAAATGTGTCTCTGAAATCGAGTAGTGGGAATTTTCGAGTGGCTGTGCGAGGTTGCTGAATAATTTGGTACTTGGTTTTTTCTGGAAGTTCCTGGAACTATTTTTTTTTGCAGAAAAAAAATAGTTCCAGGAACGCATTTCATTTCTTTTCAATTTCTTCTTTTCAACAATTTAAAGAATCTGATATAATTTCCATTTTTGAAACATGAAAAAAGGCTTAATGCATAGAAAATATTGCACAAGAAATTTGTTTTGAAAATAATATATCGCAAAATTTGCTGAATGTTGCTGAGGAAAAAATCGTTGGGGATCGTTGCGCAACCGTTGTCAAGTACCTTAAAATTTTTTTGATTTTGTGATAATCTTTCTTTCTAATAATTTTAATTTTTTGTCTTATTAAAATTTATCCGTTGATAAAGTTTTTTAAATTTTCATTTATCTTCCATTAATTTACTTTTTTTTATTTTCAGTAAGGATAAACCGAAAAATGATAGGAAACTGCTTACCAACCTGGTTGATTCTATATCCGGCAGTTTTTACGAAAAATTGATGGAAAATGTTGCAGACGAATTAGTCAAAGAAATTGGAAATTCTGTTTTGAAACAGGAAATTGAAAATGTACAAAAACAGATCGCTGCTCGCTTAGATAAGTAAAATTTTATTTTCGAAACCATCCAGCGTCCAATTATAATTATGAAAATATGGTTTAATAGTGACTTTTCTTATTTTTTTGCATGTTTATTTATTTATTTAGACAACGGCTTAAAAATTCTGTAAATCAATGGAAAAAATATGTAGCCAAGCGAAAAGAGCAGGCATTCTTGAGAAACTTTCCTGTTGTCGCAGTTCCTCGACTAACTATTCAACGAGGCTGTTCCATTGAA